TGCAAATTAATACAAATCCCACTGAGTAAAACTTGTGTGGTGAATGCTTCTAGGTTTCTTTGGGATGCCACTGATGGTTCCTTAAACAGTACTTTTTCAAACACAAAAAGAATCAGAGCAAAAATAGACATTTAGAATTTACCTTCTGTATGAAAAAGGATGGTTTGCATTCATTTTCTGTAATAAATGTTTAAAAACACAAATTAAGAAACAGAATACAAGGGATGTTAGGATTCTGGAGGGCTGATTCTGGAACTATCTTAGTTTTAAGAATTAGTCTTGCTTATTATAGTAACAGAGATCCTGAGACAACATAATTGCTTTTAAAATATTTTTTTAAAATCACGAAAATACAATGAAACCAAGGATTCCGCTTACCAAATATGACGCTGAAGTTCATAGAAAAGACAAAGAACGTTCCAGGCAATAAGTGCCCCTCTAAGGCCAAAGACTTGGTGGGATAGAAGGAAAGCAAACCTGAACTCTTAAAATTTAAAGAACAGTTCTAATAAAGATTCTGCATCCCAGCTTTGGATTTTACCATTTCACTGAGATTTATCAGAAGTCCTCTTAAAGGAACTTACAGCTTAAATAAAACATTTCTCAATTCTATTTTTTATTTGCATAGAATAAGGCCCAATGTAAGTATAGTGTATTATTCTGTTTAATTTTTCCCTATTATTCATAATATTTCTAACTAATTTTCTCTTTACTGTGAACTAAGTACCGTGTTTCCCTGAAAATAAGACATCCCCTGAAAGTAAGACCTAGCACAACTTTGGGAGAAAAAATTAATATAAGACATTGTCTTATTTTCGGGGAAACAGGTTCCCGTTTTATAGATGAGGAAATTAAGGTATAGACAGGTGAAGGGACTTAGGGAAAATTGATAAAGGGGAAAAGATGGGATTTGGAGACAAAAGAATCAGCCATCTGCTAGCTTTGAGCAAGTACCTTCACCTGGGCCTGTCTTTCATTTTAAAAAGAGGATAATACCACCTACCTCCCAAATGAGTGAAGCATACAGCAGAGAGCTTCATACAGGGTTAGCCATTCAACAAACATAGGTTCTCCAACAAATCCACAATAGCATTTTCTTTTTTTCTTTTTTTTAAATATATTTTTATTGATTTTGTACAGAGAGGAAGGGAGAGAGATAGAGAGCTAGAAACATCGATGAGAGAGAGTCATCGATCAGCTGCCTCTTGCACACCCCACCGGGGATATGCCCGCAACCAAGGTACATGCCCCTGACCAGAATCGAACCCGGGACCTCTCAGTCCCCAAGCCGACGCTCTATCCATTAAGCCAAACCGGTTTCAGCCACAATCGCATTTTCTTCAGCTGCTACAATGGGTATGATGTCGTGAGGTACAGTATAACACAGGTAGAATGCCTGACAAATACAGGGCTCAATACATCTGTTCTCTCCCCTAATACTGCCTCCTTTTACTAAGAGTAAGGGTACAGTTACTAAGTGGCTGAACCACATCAAACCCAAACCTTAATTTCATTATAGAACTGTCTCTGCACACACACATTTTTATTAATGGTAGTACCTCATTAACTGCAAAAGCCAATTTAATCTAGCTATTTAATCAGTACTTATTGGAATAGGTTCCAGCAAAATCTAATTCATTTACAGGGTAACTCTACTTTTCAATAATCACAAAAGGGGTTAATATTTCTGACTTGAAAACATGTATTTTCTAATACATATTTCTACTGGCATTTATGCAACAAATATTCTTAATATTTTATAAACTATTATAACCTCAAAGATAGTTAAAAGTCTATTCCTTAGGATATCATATGCCTAAGCTTTAAAATGACTCCATTAGGTATATTGCATTCAAAGATATTAGGCAGCTTTTTTACTTTTCCTATTTTTCTACCAAGTAAAATAACCAACTAAGGCAGTAAATATGGTAAATAAATATATATATGAATAAAATGAAACAGATGTGTGAAAAATATGGGCCAGATCTGCATTTATGAGACAATGACCTTCAAAACTGGCAGGGAGCTGTTAACAATGTTCTTCAACAGGGGAGCAATTACACTACAACCTCACTGTGATTGTGTGCTTTCATTTCTCACGGTCTACAAATACATCTGCATATCAGAAAGAATAAAAGAATAGTTTGATAACTATGGCAACCTTCATTGAGAGGACATAAGGCATTTTCATCGTCCTAATAATCACATCCTAAATGCCAGATCATTATAACTGCTGCAATATTAAAGGCTAGACTAATACTTTTGACAGAATTTCCTACAACTGAAATGTACCAAATGTGGCTATTGCAGCTCTGCTTTTGCAATACCCTAAGTGGTGTCTAATTATCTCAAGAAGCTCTGAAATACATACCTTATTTAAAGAAAAATATGGCATACAATAAGGAAAAGAAGTTCAAAATGTCACCAATTTTAAAAAAAAAAAATATACGGTACTGCAATTCCTAAAATGTTGGGGATATTGCTTTAACCTAGTAAGTAGTTCACAGTTTCTTTCAATTCTGATTTTAAGAACCCTGTACCCAGAATTTTACAAATAAGCACACAAACACACACACAGAAATGCACAACGGGAAAAGTTGCTAAGAAAAGCTTAGTATCTGAATGCTCAGACAAGCTATATAAACAAAATGTTAATTTCACATAAAATACTGTCTTTTCTTACATTTTCTCACATAGATAAAAGCAACAGCAATTCACAATAGTGGTGCCCCAAAATAACCATATTATATATACTTTAGAATCCCTGTGTCTTTTAGATTTTATGCAAGAATCACTATACACAATCATTAACATGTCTAGACATTGGACACGTTACAGTATGGTCATGTTATACCAAGTTTAATTTTTAAAATTGTACTTTTAATTTTCCTAAATTTCTATAACATTAAATTATAATAAATAAATGCAACCATATAGTAAGCATAAGTCCAAAAAGTTCTACTTAACTTAAAAACACTATTTTTTTTTCAATACTAATGAAAACTACCCACAACTTTAAAGGTTCCACTAACTGGGAAAAAATAACCATTTGCCTTATTGTGATACCTTAGAACCACAAGATTATCACTAGTGGAGTGGAGGCATGAATTGTGTTTCACTTTTACTGTACGCCTTGGCAGAAGTTAATGACCTGTCCTGGGAATTTCATTTCACCATATGTATACCCCGAAAGTATTTTTAGGCGTCGTGAAGACTTAATCTTGCACTGCCCTTAATATGCTGTTGTGTAAAGGCTTAAATTTTAAAACAAAAAGGATAAATACTTTAAAGGCTCTAAACCATGTATTCAAATGGTGAAAGGGTCAACTCAATCTTTTCTCCTCCCCCACTAAAAAAAAACACTGTACAATGACATAAAGATACAATAGAAACAAAAAGTAGCATGCCACTTATTCAGCAAGGACATAACACATAACATCTCTATCATATTCAACTACAATAATCCTTTCACTTGATGGCTAGAATCTTTATGGTTGCTTAATCTGTATGTAAGTGACCTTAGAAAGAGATTTTGTTCTTTTCCTCTGCCCTCACGGGTCTTTGGCAGCAGTCATCCCTTATGCCCAGAGCTGGTTTGGGAGAAGGGGGGGTGGGGGGAGAGGGAGTGGAGAGGAGAGAAGGCAGAACTGAGCACGGAGTCAGCAGAGGCAGCCGCTCTCATCCACTACCAGGCGGCGTCTTTCTCACACGCCGCTATTTTCCGCTATTGAGCATTGTCAGCAAAAAAATAAATAAATAAGTGGGGAGATGGGGTTGTGGGGGTGGGGGTGGGGGGTAGGCAGGGAGACAAAGAGGATAGGACCTGGGCCGACAGTTTTTGTCTGCCACACCATCTAAGGCGAGAAGCCCCTCTGATTTCTTGCTGAAACAGGGACCAGGTGAGAGACCCCTGCGGGTTCAACTCAATTTGCTTCTCCAGAAAGAGCAGTGTCCCCGGCGGTGAGCGCAGGATCCACCCGGCTGCTCAACTACACGCCGCCGGAGCAGCAGCATCGTCAGTGCTTCCTACCTCTGACTTCACAGAGGAGGAGAGAGGACCGTGACCGCGCTCCCTCCCGGGGAAGACTACTACTCATGACGTGCCACACAGCGGCGGTGAAGGAGCCTTAAGCCAGAGGTTGTATACAAAGCCCTTCAAAAATACCCGGTTCTGGTGGGAATGCTGTGCAGCATTATCTTATTGTTGGCGTGTATGTGTGTGTTTTTTTAAAGTCACCGATTCTTTCTTGCCACTGTCAACCCTGAAATCGCTGGGACTTGTTGCTAAATCTTCACCTCACGCCCCCCTCCCCCCCAAAACTGCCCAACAGAATAAGATTTGGGGAGCGAACGGCGGGGGATGGGGGGGGGGGGGCTGGAGCTTGAACACCCAGAGGGCGGGCTGGCTGGGCTGCCTTCAATAGGCCACTGTGCATGGGTTGCGCGTTCAGTTCTACCTTCAGAGAGCTCTGACTCACAAATGCTGGGGAAGGGGGGCGGGGGGGGGGAGATTATGACATATACCATTATCCTCCCCACCAAGGAGAGATAAGAAAAGCCTGCTAGCCGTCCTTGCTGGGCCGGAGAGCCAAAGCCTGCGCGCGCCCCCTCCCACCCCCACCCCCCGACGGGGCGGCCAGGGAAGGAGCCTCCAGCCCTGCCCGTCCCCCTCCGGACGCCCGCGTACGATGCCCCCTCCCCGGGCCGGCTCCAGCAGCCGGGATGGAGCGCCCTCACCCCGGGAAAGAGCAGGGGGGGACCGAGTTGGGGCTCCGGAACGCGGCGACTCGCCCCGCAGCGGCGCCAAACGCCCGGCGCCTGGCCAGGGACAGGGGCTCCGGAGGAGGAGGCGCCCCGCACACGGGGGCCGTGCTCCGTAGTCAGCCAGGGGCGGACAAAGCGCTGGGGTCTGGGGCGCCCCCGGGCAGCGGCCAAAGGAAAGGGGCCAAGTTGGCCAGACTCCGGGGACGAAGGGGGTCCCGCGGGCGGGCGCCACTGACCTGGATGGTGCAGGTGTACTCGCTGTCGTCCAGCAGCCGCACGGTGCAGCTGTACTCGCGCTCCAGGCTCCTGCTGCTGCCGCTCATCAACCTGCTCAGCATCTTCCCGCCGCCGCCGCCCGCCGCTCCCGGGAGAGACGCCGCGGCGCTGCGGACCCCGGACCAGGCGCCCCTCAGCGGGGCAGCTCCGCGCCCAACCCGGGCACCTGCACCATCACCCCAGCCGGGTCGCCGCCGCCGCTGCCTCCTGCTGCCCCGCTCCTCCTCCTCCTCCTCCTCCGCCTCCTCCCGGGCCGCCGCCGCCTCCCCCAGCCAAGAGCCAGCTCCGTGCTCTCGCTCCTCGGCGCCCTAGTGTTGGTGCCCAGCTCCTGGGGCGGGGCCTCGTGCGGCGGGGGCCCAATGGGGGTCAGCGCGGCGGAACCGAGTGGCAGGCGGAACAGCCAATGGGAAGAGCAGGTTGGAATGATGGACACGTGAGGGAAGCAATCACGGGAAGATAGTCGGGAAAGAGCCAAGCCGGGCCAGCCTTCTAGCGTCCCAAACGAGGGGCTCCTCTCCCTTCGGTTTCTGCAAATGCCGTTTCCCCTCCCGCGATCCAGAGGTGGGCACTCGCCGGGACCGACGACGCCTGTTGTTTGGGATACATTTGGGCTCTGCTTCGGAGGGCAAGTCCTGTACTCTGCCACGCCGCCGTTCCCGCCCTCTCTGGAGCCCACAATCCTGGCACCTGCAGAATGCACGCACCTTCCGCTCCAGACCTGGAGGCTGCCCCAACCTGCGCGCTCTCCCGCGTCTCCCGGACCAGCCTCTCTGCACTAAGCCCTTTTATTTGGGAGGAATATCTACATTCTACAATATTTTCCAGGAGCTACTGAAGTAAATAGAAGCTGGAGGGTTCGTGGATAGCCTTAAGCACCCAGGTTTAACGCCTAGAAAGCCCTTCACTCTTAACACCCTCTGCCTCCTTCCTTTTATTTTCAGAAAACAAAAGGAGACGGGGGTGTCCTCCTTCAGCCAGTATGGAGCAGGGGGAGCGATGGCTTAGTCGATTCCTTGCACCTCTAGAACCAGAATTACACCTTCAAACTTCTTCAACAAAACGCAAAGAAAAAATCGTCTCCTGCCCTCGGGGACCCCACATCTAAAAAAAAAAAAAAAAAAACCTGTTACTTATGAAAACTTCACTAAGAGATAATACTCTCCCTCAACATTTTTTGATGGGAGAAAATGCTATAAAAGAATCATATCAACACAGAACATTAATGCTGTGATCAATATGTTAATGTAAAAATAATGAAATAAGCAGTTTCCTATTATTTTCATTTAACTTGTTCTTGTTTATTTATACACATAACAAAATGAAACCTTATATCGTCCTAAAAAAAAAAAAATCCAACCTTTAAAGTATGCTTCTTCCCCGGTGTCTTTGGATTCAGTATTTCTTTGGTTTGAACTCCCCCCCCCCCTTTATTTTATTTTTATTTTTATTTTTTTGTTTGGTTATCACCTCAGTAACCTGGATTGCTTTCTTAATTAGTTGCATTCTCCCTGTAGCATTTAATAGGCATAGGAGGGGGTTCCTCTTTTCAATACAGTCCTGGAGGTGTCAGTTAAGAACCGCTGAATCAAGCCATAAAACCAAGTGTGAGCTCCTCCACTCTGTAGCTCAAACAGGTAACCTGATGCCTGCAACATAATAGGTACCCAATATTTGTTTGTTAAATAAAGTAAATGGAATTGATAATTACTTTACAGTATCTAAAGATCTGTAAAAAAAAAAACTAAGAGAAATTCAGGAAAGTCCTGGAGATTAATGAAGTTATTGATATGCCAAGGTAATATGGTACAAAGCTTAGTTTTGTTGTGTAGTTGAAAGAAGATAATGAGGTTTCAGCTAGGCAGAACTTTTGTTGAAAGAAAAGATGTTATAGATGATGTTTAATAAAGAATCTATAAGAGCAAGAATAAATATCCCAGAAGCTAGAGGGATAAATATCCCAGTGATAGTAGGGAAGTGTCTTTAACAGTTTATGCAAATAAGCAGCTGTTAGAATAAAAACACAAAGCACCATGAATCCAGAAAAGCTCTAAGGAACTGAATGCAACATTTTTCCAAAGTATGACCATAGATGCATTCAACATCGATTAGATTGTGGCTGCTATGCCAGTGCATGAGAAACATCCCTGCCCTAGTTGGTTTGGCTCAGTGGATAGAACATCAGCCTGTGGACTGAAGGGCCCTGGGTTTGATTCTGCTCAAGGGCACACGCCCAGGTTGCAGGCTCGATCCCCAGTAAGGGGTGGAGGCCACCAATCAATTATTCTCTCTCGTCATTGATGTTTCTATTTCTGTCTCTCCCTCTCTGAAATCAATAACAAATATTTTTAAAAGAAACATTCCTGCTCAACCTAAGGAAATCATGTTAGTTTAAATGCTCACCTTAATGAAAAATCAGTTAGATACTCATCCATGCTCTTACATAATAGCCATAAAAAGCTTCAAACTCTCCCTTACTCTCTGATACAGAAAATTTCATGAAGGAGACAGAGGATGGGCAAATAATGGGAGAAAGGCAATAATCAATCAGTTTCTGGTTAAATGTATTTCTCTATAAGACTCAAAGGGAGAGAGTAACCAAGATGGTGGCATAGGTAAACAGCTGAATTTGCTGCCTCATACAACAACTTCAAAACTACAACTAAAAGAAAAAAGGGACATCATCCAGAACCACAGGAAGGCTGGCTGATTGGAAATTCTACAATTAGAAGGAAAGAGAAAAGCACACTGAGACTCAGAGGAGCTGCGGAAGTAAAGGCAGAGGTACAGAGGTGTGCACCGAGAGGACTGGCAACTGAGTACGCGGCTGTCTTTTTTAAGGGAGAGGGAGACAAAAATTCCCAACTCCTCTGAACTCCAGTTCCCGGTGAGATTCTGGGGACCCAGGCATTTGGGAAGAAAGTGGGCTGTCTGCCAGCGGGCAGAACTCAAGGGTGGTTTTCTCTCAGAGGTGCTTGCAGCAATTACCAAGGGACATTGAGACTGGGCAGGACTGACAGGAAGCCATTACTGTTTGCTCTGCCCTGAGACTCAGCCCCATCCAAACTGTGCGCAGAGGCTTTTGCATATAAATGGCGGGATCCTTTGAAATCTAAACTTATCTAATAAACTGTAGCTGAGTCAGTGAGACCCAGAACATCCAAAAGAAGGCCCAAGGCTTTACAGCATCTTGCACTGCTTCACACCTAGATCTCATCTGGGCACCTCCAAAACTCAAACAAAAAAGAAGAATCTGCAGATATCTCCATAGCTCCTACTGGGTGGCCTCAGGCAGAGGCTAAATTAGCACCTCCTTGGAGATCCAAGAGCCAGTGTATGTAGGGGTCAGAGTAGGACCATCCAGATTACAACTCCTCAGATCTATAAGGGACACACTCAGGAGGCAGACTCAGTTAACACCAAAGCCCCAGTGAAGCAAGTCTTGTCTCCAGCACAGAAGTTCCCATCATAGACACAGCTGATCCTCACAGCCAATTGTCCTGGAGATCAATTTCTTCCAGTGATAACAACAACAATCAAGGCTTAACTACAAGACTGTGCACACAGCCAACAAAGGGGTGCACCAAGAGTGTCCACCTTGGGTAATTGGGGAGGCCTAGCCACTGGGCCCTATAGGGCAACTAGCACACTAAGCCACTCTATCAAAAGGAAAGCAACCAAAATGCAGAGACTAAGAAACAGGTCACAAATGAAATAAATGGATGAAAGCAAAATACTAGAATTTTCTAGAAAAGATCGATAAATTTAGTAAAACCCTAGAGGTTATGAAAAAAGACCAACTAGAAATTAAATATAAACTGACTGAAATAAAAAATAATATACAGAGATCCAACAGCAGACTAGAGGATCCCCAAGAATCAAGTCAAAGATTTGAAATATGAGGAACCAAAAAACACCCAACCAGAAAAGCAAAAAGAATCCAAAAATATGAAGATAGTGTAAGGACCCTCTAAGACAACTTCAAGCATACCAGCATCTGAATTATGGGGTGCCAGCAGAAGAGAAAGATACTGAAAATCTATTTGAAGAAATAATTATAGAAATTTTTCCCTGCCTGGAGAAAGAAATATACTTACAAGGTCAGGAAGCACAGAGAACCCCAAACAAAAGGAATCCAAAGAGGACCACACCAAGACACATCATAATTAAAATGCCAATGGCAAAAGACAAAGAATCTTGAAAGCAGCAAGAGAAAAACAGTTAGTTACCTATAAGGGTGCACCCATATGATTGTCAGCTGATTTCTCAACAGAAACTATTCAGGCCAGCCTAACCGGTTTGGCTTGGTAGATAGAGCATCAGCCTGTGGACTGAAGGGTCTCAGGTTTGATTCCAGTCAGGGGCATGTGCCTTGGTTGCGGGCACATCCCCGGTGGGAGGTGTGCAGGAGGCAGCTGATTGATGTTTCTCTCTCTTCGATGTTTCTGGCTCTCTATCCCTTTCCCTTCCTCTCTAAAAAATCAATAAAATATATAAAGAAAGAAAGAAAGAAAGAAAGAAAGAAGAAACAAACAAACTATGCAGACCAGATGGGAGTGGCAAGAAATATTCAAAGTGATGAATAGCAAGAACTTACAACCAAGATTACCCAGCAAAGCTATCAATCATAATTGAAGGGCAGATAAAGAACTTCACAGATAAGAAAAATCTAAAGGATTTCATCACCACCAAACCAGTATTATAGGAAATGCTGAAAGGTATTCTTTAAGAAGAGGAAGAAGAAGAAAAAATAAAGATAAACATTATGAACAACAAATACATATCTATCAGCAAGTGAATCTAAAAATCAAGATAATAAAAAATCTGATGAACAGAATAAACTGGTGAATATAATAGAATCAGGGACATAGAAAGGGACAATTCTCGGGGTAGGGGAGAAAAGTAGGGGGGCAGGAAGAGATGAACAAAAATCATACACCTATGGATGAGGACAGTGGGGTGGGGTGGGAGAAGGTAAAGGCAGAGGGTGGGGTGGGAATCAGGTGTAGGGGAGCTATGGGGAGGAAAAAGAGGAACAATTGTAATAATCTGAACAATAAAGATT